ATCTATCTATCTATCTATCTATCTATCTATCTATCTATCTATCTATCTATCTATCAACCAACCAACCAACCAACCTATTCCCTCTATCTATCCGTCCGCCCTTGGCTTAATAATATTTTATTCTTTTTCTTTTCGTATCCCTAATGTAAACAGCGCATTCGCCTTCTCTTCGCTCGCCACGAATAATTCACAATAGTTGGGTATCGAGTTTCGCTTAGGCCTTGAAACTGACCTTCGCTTCAGCAGAGGGGGAATCTTACAAACAAGACTAATGAATCATGCTTGGGTGTGTGAGTTATAGCGCATACCTGTATGTGTATCTGTGTATGTGTGTGTATGTGTGAGTGTGTGTGTCTGTGTATGTGTGTGTGTGTGTGTGTGTGTGTGTGTGTGTGTGTGTGTGTGTGTGTGTGTGCAGATATGTGTGTATGTATATATACGAGCATGCAAATGTGTCTATGTACATACGTGTTATTATGGGCGCTTGTGTATAATTATAAAATGCTCTCAGTAGGCTAGGACAGAGCCTCCTCCGCCCCTCCTCCCCTTTAAGCTGCACTGTGCAAGGCTGTTGTTACGCTGTGTGATCACACCAGACTTAGATCTAGTTGTGCAGAAGAGGGAGAAGCGAGGACTTCACGGTGTTGATTCAACACAATGGAACTGGGCCCTGGTGATCTGTTTTTTGTAGCTGGTGTAGGCCTACATATGTGTTTGATTACTTTTCTAGTTTTTGCTGCCGCTGTTGCTTGATGTCGCCACTGTTGAGGTTGCTGTTGTTTCTGTTGTTATTGTTGCTGCAGTTGTTGTTGTTTTTGTTGTTGCTGCTGCTGCTCTTGTTGTTGTTCTTGTTGTTATTGGTTATGACAGTGTTGTAGATGTTGTTGTTATTATTGTTGTTACTATTGTTGTTGTTGCTGCTGTTGTTATTGGTAATGATAGTGTTGTTGAAGTGATTATCATTGTTGTTACTGCTGTTGTTGCAGCTGCTGTTGTTATTGATGACGATAGTGATGCATTGTTGTTGGCGCTGCTGCTGCAGCACTTGCTGTTTCTTTTGCTGTTGTTGTTGTTGTTGTTCTTAAGCGTAATCAGAAAGCCCTGCTTTGACGACTCCAGATAAACGATGGTGACGATGATAATAATGATTTTCTAGTTCTTTTTAACATGCATCATCTTTCACCCCCGTATGCACGCGCGAACA